GTTCAAGGGATAAGAAACAGCTCCAAGTGAGGAAAATTAGAATCTTACCCACAGCCCCATAAATACTAAATATTTCTTTCTAAACCACTTTTTAATTAGCATGCTGAAAGACTTAGGAAAATGCGGGTACAGTTTCATATATATGTAAGAAATATATATGTAACATTTTATATAGTGTTTATATAATATTTTTTGATCCTACTTTTTAGAAGCTAGGAAAGTTCTTCTTTTGTAACCTTTAGATTTAACTTCTGTCAACTCTTGATGATTAGTGGTGACTGAATTAGATCTAAGTTTAAAGTTGACATTTGAACAGAGTTATTGACACATAAACAAACTGTCACTTCATGTCTCAGAGAACCAACTGCAGGCAACTTTCCTGGATCCAGTAGGGGAGAACATCTTACTCACGTTGCAGCACTTAGCACCTGTAGCCCTTGGCTCTGGCCTCTTTTCATGTTGCTTGTGTCTTAGGAAAATTATGCTCTTTCTTCACCTTCTTAAATCAAGTAAAATTACTAAGATGGTGTGGTTTATGTATTATAGATAAATGTTGAGTTTACAAAGCTCAGTATTTCAGTCATGGTGCTAATGGCACAGGATGCGAGAGACTCAGTGGCTGGGATCATAATTTAAATAGATGCCTCTAACCAGAGTCAGTAGATGAGTGGGGACAGGGGGTGGCCTAGTTGCTGTTTTACTTGTGCTTGTGCTGTAAAATGTTTATGTTTAGGAATATTATCTAATTTCTAAAGGTTTAAAAGTGACTTATGCTTTGAACATTTTAGTTTCTGTGGTACAACTTTATAAATAGAAAGGTTGTGACTTTTCATTTTTTATTTTACATGTATTTATGTATATGTTACATCTTACCACTAAAGTTTTCAGGAGGCTTAAATGAAAGAATCAGTGAATAAACATAATAAAATATAAAAGAAATGAAAAACCAGGACCTAAATTTAAAAAAAAAAAAATGCCTAAGATCAAGTTTAACCACAAGCCTCCTAATGTCCAGGCTTAAAAGTGGAAATTCATCAGATATTCTAAGTCTTAAAGGCAGAAAATAAAGTTTTTACTAGCACTGTGTTGTTAACAAAATTCTCTAAGTAGAGTTTTTTTTCAGAGAGGATACCGAGAAATGCCACAACTAATTCTCCCCAACATTTTTTGAGGGGAGGTGGCACATGTAGTAACAAATTTCACATGGCTGTTTTTGTAGTGTCCCTCAATAAAAGCCTTAGCATAATTAAATTCAACTCAGTGGAAGCAATTCAATTCCTGTGGAGGTAAATTAATATAATATAAGTAGGCATCTTTTGATCTGGGATAGAATTTAGTAAAACTGTAGCACTGGTTGTGTTACATGTTCCTTAGACTGTCTTTTCTAAAAACTATTTCTGCCAACTAGATGTCAGTAAGATCAAGGTTGTAATTATTGAAAAGTTGTC